TTCTCAAAAGCTTCACCTTCCTCTCCTCTTCTAAAAACTTTGCCGCCTTCCTCTCTGAAGATTCAGCCACCTTTTCTCCTCTTCTCAAAGCTTCGCCTCCTTCCTCTCCAAAGATTCAGCTACCTTCTCTTATCCTACCTGATCTCCTCTACCCTACCTGATATATTCAAAACTCTCTCAGGCAAGCTATTTTCAAGTAAGATCTTTCCATTTTCTTTTGTATAGTTCGTAAAGATGTGTGATTATAATTTCCATAAGTTACCTTCGTTCTGCCCGGACAAATGGAAACATTTTGTAAGTTTCTGCATCTGTAATTTGTGAGTATTGCTGTATATATGTACTCTTTCTGAATCAGTTTGAAGAAAACTTGTCTATATTTGTATTATGCAGTTTAAATTAATCCTTAGCATTAAAATACGAAATAATAGTTACACTACTTGGATAGTATTAGATATTTCGGTTATTTCCTTCATCATTATCTTGTGCATCTTTTTATATTACACTACTCTTTTTAGATCTTTATTAGATTATACAACGATGTTTTCAATGTTACTTAGATAAAATATAAGTTTATAGATCTTGGCGTTATTGGTATCAGAGCCATTAGAGATTAGATCTTCTCCAATTTTAAGATTAGACTAGTTTTAGCTGATAATAGGTTTTTATAAGATAAGATTATTATAAAATTAGTCATTTATACTGTAGCTAGAGTGTTAAGACTCATTGTTACCCAGTCATTACAGACCATGTAGGCCAAGAAGTACCGTCCAGGTCGTTCAAGACGTAAGAGGTTGACCAGAGTCATTATCTGTACCGATAAATGGAAAATTTTATTAAAACCTTATATCATAAAACACTATTATCTTTTAAAAATACTCTAAGGGTAAAAAATAAAGAAGAAGTAGTCATTGAAAATATTGAACAACATATTCCAAAATTGGAACATACCAAAAGTCCCAATAACAGATGTATATAAAAAAGGAAATTTTAATTTAAAAATCAGATATGCTATTAAAACTGTAGAACAAAGTTTACCGTTTCAAAATGAACAAGAAAATCTTCAGCTATTAACAAATAAAATTATGCAATCTCATTAAAATAAAGAATATCAATATCTTCATATATGACTAATACAAGCAGCCGTTAAACCATTAACTAGATTAGGATTAAATACTTCAATCCTACTATGTCTACGTGATGAAAGACATAATAATTTTTCAGATTCACTATTAGGAATAATTGAATCAAGTTTATGTAATGGACCAATCTATTTTAATTGCTTTCCTAATTATGCTATATCTTTAAACGATCCTAACCTACTGAGAGTACTAACCTTAAATATTAAAACACAAGGATTTGACATGCTACAAGGATCCCAGAATATAGCTATAATCTATCGAATATATTACAAAATAATGGCCACTTTATGTCCCAATGTCATACAAATAGATACAAAAGGACAAACTACTTTCTTTTAAACAAATACAGAAAGAAGATAATTTAATTCTTGAGATCATCGTTAAGATCCCGAATAATGAAGACAAAGAACAATAATTAGCCGATATATTCAAATAGCAAAAATTCATAATAAGCCAACTCCATTAATAAAACCATCGGAAGAATATAGTTTTTCTGAGATTATTAAACGAATTAATCAAAAGGACAATATTCTGAGAGAACCTATTATTGTTGAACTAAAACACGAAATTAATGAAGTGAAAACTGAACTTAAATAATTTAAAAAACAGGATTAAATTATTAGAATTAACCAATGAATTAACTGATAATCCATCAGAAGATGAAGAAATAGAATTTGATAATCTATTAGCCAAAAGTAATAGCCCTTTGTACAAATTTAAAATTGAAAAACAACTTGATAAACAAAAAATGACCGGTCGGAAAGAACTTGGTGATTTTTGCCAACAATTTGGATACAGTCTAAATCTTTCTCAAAATAAACCCCGTAAAAGAAGAAAACAAGAAAAACGAAAAA